TATATATATATATATATATATATATATATACACACACACACACACACACACACACACTACATTTTCTTTTGCTTTAAAAAAACAATGCAAACGTTTTTGTTGTGGAACAGATTAAAAACATTTACATTCATTTTAGTGGTGAAAAATGATTTGCAATATCAGTGTTTTGAGTTACGAGCATGGTCACGCAACTCAACTCCTAAGTCAAGGCACCACTGTAATATGGACAATTTTTTTTTTAATCCTTTTTTTGAATTTTTCTGCGTGTGTAGGAGGAGACTGAATCCACCAACGGCAAGGCAGCAGATCATGCGAAGAAGCCCAAAGGAGCAGTGCCTCAAATTAGACCGAAATCCAAGAAGGAGAGCAAAAAGAAGCGATAGCTGTGCATTGCCACGAAATTGTGTGTTTCATATTTTAATCCCTATTGCTCTTCAATGTCACTCCAAGTACATGAGACACTGCAGTTACCAGTATTGACATTCTGTTTCGTCTGTGTCTACAACCACAGCTTTTGTCATTTTTCAATAACTGCCATTCATTTTTTTAAATAAACTTTGCAATTAAATGCATCGAGTGACCATCAGAGTTCTTTGAAATAATGTGGCTTATTTTACTGCAGCTCAGTGATGTAATATCCTGACTTTTTGTAATAGATATTTCCCAATGCAGGTGACACTTTCAGAAACAGACTTTCCTCATGATTGAGCACAATCTAGCCTTTTACATGTTGCCGCCCTCACTTTGTGTCACAATTAGGTGGCTACATTTTAGTGTTACTTCAAGCATTTTAAGGTTGTGATGTAACATCTGTAGTCTTGGGATGTGGAAAAGGAGTCCGCATTTGTAGGAGCCTTTGACTGAAAATGTCCAGCAGTGTTAAGATGTCATCGACCCTCATGTGAATTGGGACACAGCTATTGACTCATTTTGGATGGCATGACTTCCTGATAAGCACAGTTGCAAAAGGGGAGTAGATTGTTTTACATTAGGAAAGTGATATTTAATGACACTCACTATGAACATAATTATTGCGGATTTTTTTTTTTCCTTGCATTCGCACACTCCACGCCACTTTGGAGAACATATTTGTGGATGAAATGATGTTGGTTTTTTTTTTTTAAATAATGGTTCTAACTTCTATTAACCGGTATTTGTTTTTGGACAAGCATGCTGGTGATTAAATGCCATCACAAAGGCGCCAGTCATCTTTGCAGTTTTGAGGGATCTCATTATTTAGCTCTATAAGTCATGAGAAAGATAGAAAAGAATCTCCAAGGCATTAGATATAATAAACATGGAACACACTGTTGACAGTCATCGTCAAGTGGAGAAAATATTGCACAACAGCAACATTCCTCAGAACTGAATGTTAATTTAAACCTGACAAAAAGAAATTGGCCAGCGACTGCAAAAATGTTGACTTATAGATTCAAGAAGCTTCAGGAATTTCTGGCAAGTACTGGCTCTTTTGTAGTTTTGACAACAATCTTCCGTGTTCGTCAGATAATATATCTGGACTATGGAGTAGTTTGGCAAGATGGAAGCCTTATCTACAAAAAAATTCCATTCCTGCCTACATTTAGCAAAAATACACTTGGAATCTCCCAAATGCATACATGGAAAAAAATGTTCAAGTCTGATGAAACAGAGCTTGGACCATTAGGCCACAATTACAAAAGGGTATGTGTTGCACAATCACAACACAGCCAATTACAAAACAACACCATACCTTCATAAAGAAAGTTGGTGGCAGCATAAGTCTTTAGGGTTGTTTTTCTTTGGCTTGCACTAGGGACTTAGTCAAGGTGAAGGGAATTAGGAAGAGTTCCAAATACCCGCCCCTATTAGCATAAAACCTTCAGGCTTTTGCCAGAAAGCAAAAAAAAAAAAAAAAGTGAGGAAAAGCATACAAAAACATCTTAACTGCGTTTGTGATTCATCACAGGCACTTTAAATTGTGGCAAGCGTGTGCTGACTCTCATTTAACATGAGTTTTACCTCGAGTGGTCAGCTCTGAACACAGCCTGGCCACTTACCATGAGGTGTGCACACTTGTGCAACCACATGCAAGTTATTTTTACTTGTCTTCTCAAAACGAAGTATTTTTTTTAATTAAGTTGAGCTGTATAGATTATATAGGTCACATTGTCGATGGGAATAGTTTAAAAAGGAAAAATAACAGCCTAATTTTTGGTATTACAAAAATAGGGCCTTTGAACGGGTGGCATAGACTTTTTATAGCCACTGTAGGTAGGTATGGTAGGTATGAAGGTAAATCGGTGGATAGGTTTCTCGGTAGGTAGGTAGGTAGGGAGTTAGATAGATAGATAGATAGATAGATAGATAGATAGATAGATAGATAGATAGATAGATAGATAGAAAGATAGATAGAAAGATGGATAGATTGTGTTGTGAAATAAAAATCAATCCTGACCACTGGGAGGGATTTTTAGGAGAGCCGTGATGTTTTCTCCACACGAATCAGCATGCCTCCTCCTATCGCGTCGACACACGGACACGCCGCTAGGGCTACTCTCCGTAGTACGTAGTAGAAGAGGCAGCTTTGTCCGCCGGCCCACTGACTGACAATCGGCGTGTACTGTACCCAATGCGAGAAAAGAAGATGCACCCCACTCCATGACCTCCGCTTCCTCTTCTTCTTCTTCCTCCTCCTCCTCCTGCATCCGATTGTATCGAAATTCGCTAAATGGGATTCACCAGCGTTTCCACAGCAACGTGCACTTATTCGTCAAATGAGGACGAGCGAGAGGATTTATTAACACGTCTCTGATTTGTGTTGGGCTTTATCTCAAGAAAAACGGTGAGTCTGTTTGTATTATTATGGGCGTAGAATTTATTTATTTTAAAAAGCGAACCACTGCGTATTTTCTCCCTCAAACGTGGTTAGAGCGTCCATTCACTCGGCCGGTTCCATTCAAGCAAGCCGACGGACCACAAACGTTTGTTGTCGTGTTTCCGACACCCCCCTCCGAGCCTGACACACAATAAAAGCGACGCGTATCAGGCAAAATATCACGCTTGTACGGGCTCCCACGGTCATTTCACGGCGGGGGAAAAAATAAAAACACTGTGGGGGAAACAATAAAATAAAAAAAAAGACAACAATCCATTGAAATTCAAAATGGAGCAGCACCTGTTTCGACTCATCTGGTCGAATAAACAAGCCTCGGCTGCACTTTCACTCTTTTTTTTTTTTATGTATGTGGTTCTGTTAATTTACCCCCGACCATCTTGCATGTTCTGGAATGCGGTGTCCGTATGTAACATTTTCATTACCTTTTTTACTAATTATTTTTAAATTCCAATTCCAACCCCCCCTTCCAGTACTGTATGTCATTTTGACAGCTGCTACTCCGGCTGGCAGCTAGCACCCCACCCCTTCACCAACAACTGGGCTGTTTGAAATCACTTGCTTTTCATTACTGTATAGAACACTATTATGGCTAGTTGATTTTGTTCTTCTGCTCTAAATGATGTGCAGTGAAGGCATAGGTTATCCTCCACATCCAGTCGTTTCTTCAATGTATCCCACAATGCATCTTGAAAAGTAGTGAACAATCAATGGTCACTTGAAAAGCAACATAATAATATTGTGTGGTGTTCTTTTTCCATTTCCAGGGTATTGTTTGATTTTCACCATAACAAATTCATGAGCTGTAGCACAAAAACAGGCCAGACAAGTTCTATGAATGCTGTCACAAAGATACACAGTGGTACCTTTGTGGCAATTTACGAATAGTAAACAATTAAAAAAAAAATAGGTTCCTTGTTCACTTTTACTGTCAAACTAGTTTTACTACAGTAAAGTCCACTTAGATTAAGAGGAAGTCAAGTTCAAATATTTTCTTGCTCCGGTCGATGCAAACATTGATGTTCATTCTTTAAGAGTTTGAGAGGCTCTCATTACTCCATACAGGGATCATTGTGTAAAACACACACTGATAAAATAAAACTGAAGTTGCCAGTACCAGTGGCAACGTAAGATGCCTGCCCTCTGGCTTCAAACTCATGCGGCCAATTGTTAGTCCATTCATATGTAAGTCGGTGCTGTTTAACCTTGAAGCAACTGATGTTTGAACAGAAATGGTGGCGCAACACGTGCAGACACAGAAAACAATAGTGATAGACATGTATTCTTTCAGGTGTGTAAGATACTGCCTCTCGTTGGCCAAATTGCACACATCACAAAGAGCAGCACAACCACAGTGAATTAATCATCAAGCACAAACTGTTTTGTTCTTTGCATTGTATTTAATTGTCTTTACAGTATGTTTTTATGAAGTACAGTATGAGAGTGATATTTTTTATTTAAAAAAACATTTACAGCATTTCAATTCATTCGTTTTTTTAAGGGGGAAATGTGGATTGAATGTTTATCAACGTTTTTGAAATATTGGGGGGGTGGGGGTAAACAACTCTTTTTCCCCCGATGCATTTCAATGGGCATCAATTATACACAGATGTTTGCTTTTCCCTATCCTCCATGAATAGTGGGGCTCCACTGTATATAAACATCCCTATGTGGCATACGGATTGTTCCTGTACTCATTGGTGAACTCTATAATCAGTCCCTGTATGGGGATTAGGGAGTAGAGAATGAGTGAATGATTCCGCACACAGCCGCAATAATTCTATGGGAATAAAAATTCAAATGATGATTCAAATCCATTTACATTTACTTTTTTGGCTGGGATTTGGATGAGTTCCAGCTCATTTGCATGAAAGGAAAGCGGATTCAAGGCTAGGCTCTGAATGAGATGTGCGAATCACCAGAGCGGTGTGATGGTGAGGCAGGGGACACACAACATTGGACTTTTTACCTTTTGGTAACCTTTTCTCTTGCAAGGACCACAGTCGTAGGACTGGTTATTTATTGCTTTTTTTCCCCCTTTTTTGGCTGTCGAATTATAGAAGTATACGTTATATTTGCGGGGGAGAACAGTCACTCACCCACTTGAGACTGTCTGTCGGGCTTTTACTGTGTCCCTGTTCAGAATGGGGGTGTGAAGGTGACCGGGCAATTTTCTATCTTCAGGGGTAGTATGTGGGATGACATTTTGCAGTGTCCTTTTCACTGCCTGTTTAAGCCTTCCTTTTTTGCGCATTTTCCATGTCACTCGTCGGTGTAAATGGCATTCACAATGATTTGGAGAGATAAAGTCATCCAGGCAAATTTCCGTCATCAGGGGTTCTATTGATGTAGGATGACATCTATCTACCGGTAGTCCTTTTGACATTGCCTGGAAGAGCCCTCCCATTTTCTTCCCATGCTTTTCTGTACAAATGGCAACGACAGTGAATGAGAAGGAAAAGTCAACCCAGCAATTTTCAACTTTTGGAGCAAGTATTGTTGGTGCCCCGTTTATACTGCCTGGAAAAGTAATTATTCTGTCTGAATGGCCGTGACACGGAATCAAGGGGATTAAGTTGACCGAGCACATTTCCGCATTCTTAAATAGTTTCAGAGCTGTAACTGATGCAGGTAAAGACCTTAATATTTCCACCTTTTTTTTCATGTCAGTGTTCTGTGGAAACAGCACAAATGTGAAATTCGGGCAAAGTCGACCTGGCAAATTTCCACCCACGGAGATAGTATCAGTGGTGAGCAACTGATTGTATTAGCCATCTTTGTTGCCGTTCTATGTAAAGGGCACCACACAGAATGTGGGACAAAGTTAAGCCGTCAACTTTCCGCCCTCAGAAGGAGTATTATCAGACCTGTCACAGGTGGCGCTACGCCTGCAAAGGCCGTCAGCTGTCCGCCTTTTTTCACCAGTGTTACTGTTCCGTCGAAATGGCATACGCACAGAATCGGGGGCAAAGTTGATCCAATTTTCCGCCTTCTGAGGTATGAGAAGTGCGACAACCTTTGTCGTAGTATCCTTTCCACTTCCTGAAAGGCTTTTTTTCTGCATTACAATTCTGTACACACAACATCAACACAGTATCGAGGAAAGAAGTCAACCCAGCAAGATGACAAAAAGGCGCGACTGAATTCTTCACAGTCACTTAATCAACTATTCTGCCCACCCACACAACACAGTAGAATTCCACGAATCCTTCTATGCTTGTTTACTTCTTAACTGGTCTTGTCAAATATTGACACCTTAGTTCACATGCTGTCATTTATTGACAAAGAGCGCGGCACCTCCGCAGTGAACTCGCATTCAACCTCTGACCTCCTTCGTAGAATTCGTAACCATTGCACACAGGCAACACTCACAGCCAAAGCCCGCACTCGCAGATGGTCGGAAAGGGAAGTGTTTTTTTAATCAGGCAAATGCCAGCATCCTCTGCCTGTCTTCCACTTCTTGACGTGCTGCGAGATAGAACTTTCTAAAAAAAAAAAAAAGTCCTTAAGGTCGGCAGACAAAATGAAATTGGAAAGCACTAGGTTGCAATGCAGTGTTTCATTTTCGCACCAAACAGCCCATTCTTTGTCTCTCTCTTGACTTATTCACATCATTGTAAAGCTGTGTACAGGCAATCAGGCCAAATTTGAGCATGTCACCCTCACATTTGATAAAAGTCAGCAAAGCCCCAATTATCAGATGGCTCAAAAAGACTATATGGGCCAATTATCCTGAAATGAGGGCTGTGTTAAGAGTTATTTTTTTTCTCCCCTATCTGCTCGCAAAACGGCCCGACAATGTTAAACTTAAACACTATTTGCGATCGCAAATTCTTATGTGTGTGCTCAGCGGTCAACACAGAGTTTGGCTGATCCACTGACAGGTAGCCCGTTAGCTGTTGTCTTACACAAACAGAAGAGAAACCGGTTTTGTTAAAGTGTTTTCTCACAAATGATTCACCGCAGTAAAAATGATCAGGATTACAAGCTTAGCCTGTCTTCCTCTACTGCTACTCTTTCTTCTTTGTATTTTCCGACAGTCTGAATGCCCTGCAGCATCATCCTACCTTTCACGGTGGGTCAGTCTTGGTCCTATGACAGACAGAAGAAAGTGTTGCAATTTCAGTGAATGTATTATGTGTGCGGTGTGCGGTGTTGGTAATCTCAAATAAATTGCACAGTATAAGAGAAGTAAAACAGTTTTTTTTTTCCATCAGCATGTGTCAGGTCACTTATATTTTAAACAGTCAGGTAAGATGTTAAAAATGGGTATACAGTTAAAACCCACTTTCGACCTAAAATGCAAACATGTATGTGAATGTTTTCATCTTGAGTCGCCACCCCACCCTGCACACCCCCTTACTGCGATGCTCTCATTGGACTGCAACATTGGCAGCGGTGACTTCCTTCTCTCTCTGCAGCAACTGTTCCCGTCTGTTGTGACTCATTCACGTTTGTCACGGCCAAATGTTCGCATCGGGATTATAAATGCTGGATGGGGGGGGGGGGGTAAAGAGGTCCACAGTTCTGTTGTCTTGAATATAACTAGGTAGAGTTGCATGATGCTGTTTGTCATTATAATAACCAGTATACCCGTTGTGGCAGCTTCTCCATTCCTACACGGCAGTCGACAAGTTCCAGAACTCTCATGGTTAGCTGTTATTGAACGTTGATCACTATTGATGATTTGATGATCAGACAAGCTTGAGAACTGAATCAATGGTGACTTATGATTTTAAAACACTGTATGTTTACATGAAACCTTCAGGGCCAAACACAATTCATTCCGTGATACTTGTCATCCTTTAAAAACACTTTTTTTCATGCATAATTAAATTTTTATTATTTCCTAATTCGTATGTGCAATTTAATCCACTTTCCTAAATGTAAGGCCTCTGGGAGCATTCAGATTTTGAGATTCAGCTGTATGAGATGTGGTTTCACTTGATGTCAGATGTTTTGGTTTCACCCACTTCATCAGACTAATTGTATACACTTCTGTGTCTTCCGTAAAAGTGAGTGCTTGTGGAAGTACTCTAGAGTTCAATTGTGGCATCCCATATTAACATTCCCAAGTACACTTGATTTTGCACAAATAAGTAAGACACGAGGACCTCAATCAAGGAGTTATTTACCACTGCTTTCATCCTCCCATTTTGCCTTCCCACTGCTCAGGTGTCTTCACTGATAATTCTTTCTGAGTGGCACATGTGGTTCTCTCACATTCTTTACACGAGTGGACGAACTGATAAGGTGTCAGAAACCCTTTCCCGCCCATCTTCTATTTCATTTTCCATCCTCTGGGTTCCTCTGCTGTCTTCAATTTCCGTCCTCTGATGAAGGATCGCCATCCCTGTTTTGTACACAAGTTATGAACGGAGCTGCGTGTCGGCGTATTCTGATGTTAGCTTGCTATGACACCATATTGGGAGAAAGTGAGAGGCTCTTTTGGCGGTTTGAGGTCGGATGTTTACATACAGTTTGCAGACTGGGATGCCTTTAAGTGGGCTGTTCTGGTGTTTCTTTGAAAGTACGTTTTCAATCATCCTTGGAACACTCAGATATCATTCCCGAGATCAGCCTTTATGCAAGGCACAAGGCTCACAAAACACCAACAAACAAAAATGTCACAAAAAATATATACATAGGTTAAATATGTACCCTCTGCCATCTCGTAGAAGAGAATTTAGTTGCTCTGCCAGTCACGTTGCTGCCACAGATAAAAAAAAAAAAAAAAGACGCATTGTAGTAAATATAATTTTTAGAGCAGTTAATTAAAATGTAAAGATTTGGCTGGCAGTTCAGGGATTATCCCGCTTCTCTCGTAAAAAGTGAGTTCGAACACACTTCACTTCACCTGCAACTATGAACATGGCAGCCAGGACAAGAACTGGTTGGATTAATGGTTACCCATCTCTTTTTGTGCCCAGTGTTCAACTGGCAGCCCGTCCAAGGTGTCATTTGCCTTTTGCCCTAAAGTAAGTTGGGATAGTCTCCAGCTCACCTGCAAGCACGATATAGAAAATGGATGGATAGCTTTTGATACGTGACACATTTCACACATTCCAGCCCATCACTTTCAGCAGACCTGTTATTGTGGCTTGTTGCTGTGTGACTCACTGTTGCACTCACAAGGATGCCTTCACCCCCTGAAGGACGTTAAGACCACATCTTGGCGAGAGTTGAATCAAAGCTCTGGAGAACGCACGCCTACATTCTCCCACTTCATCAGCAGGGGTCCCTCCTTATCGTTTGACATACCTGTATTATTATGTGTGCATGTTATATTTAAAATAAATTAAATCTAAAGCCCATTGAGCCGTATACGCCGGCACCTCCACATTCTTTTTAGGGCCCGCAGGCACTTCCTCCTTCCTCGTTTGTTAATAGCACTCAGTCGGAAAAAAAAAAAAAAACCCACACGCAAGTGTTGGAAAAAGGATGTGAGATGCTACCGAGGTTGAGTGCGAGAGCTTCCCAGAGACTAGGGAACAGCTGCTCATACGCACACACATTGGTGCAAACACTGTCTGGAACTGAGAGTGCCTCCGTCCACAGGAGGAACAAGGCCGTTTTCATGCGTGTGTGACTGTCTCTGTTTCAGCCCGCCTGAAATAGCTGGTCTCGCAATGAGTCATCTTCAGCTTCCCAGAGGGAGGTCTGCTCTTGTGGTGCGAACGCACACATCCATACATATAGACACACACACACGCACACGATGTCACAGCTTTCTGGGGATGCACTTAACTTGTCTTTGTCGCTGCTTGTCGGGATGACGCCGACATTCTCCACTGACTGTAATAGATATGTTCAACACAAAGGAGCTGGAATTTCCACAAGGAAGCATTGTTGAGACATTCGTCGATTATTCCCTCCTACCTCGTGTAAAACTATATGGAAGGGAAGTTGAGCACATATAAGATGGGCAACATCTTTCTCCAGTTATATGTTTGCAGTTTAACATTGCATTCCTGACTAGTAGAGTGGAAGTTTTGCTTTTCACAAGCTGCTGTTCTTTCCCAGGGCACAACAATCATGATAGTGGTAGATTCTCTCTTTTAGCTTATCATAAAACTGTACATAAGTGTAACATATACAGGAAACCGACAAGCTGTTTGTACGAATGGAAGATACAGACCTCTGCAATGGCATAACAATCATGACCAGCAGAGGTAGATTATACCATCGAGCTTAATGGTTTGCACAACGCTGTACATAAGAGAACAGAGAATGTGGGGAAATGGGTAAGCTGGACTCGATGTACATTAGTACATTTGTAAGATGTGGTCCTCTGACTGGGTTGAACAATCATTCCCAAGAGTGATGGAATCCCCCTTCAAACTCATTCATTCATTCATTTTCCGATCCGCTTGATCCTCACAAGGGTCGCGGGGGTGCTGGAGGCTATCCCAGCCGTCTTCGGGCAGTAGGCGGGGGACACCCTGAACCAGTTGCCAGCCAATCGCAGGGCACACAGAGACGAACAACCATCCACACTCACACTCCCACCTAGGGACAATTTAGAGTGTCCAATCAGCCTGCCATGCATGTTTTTGGAATGTGGGAGGAAACCGCAGTACCCGGAGAAAACCCACGCAGGCCCGGGGAGAGCATGCACAATCCACACAGGGAGGCCTGAGCGGGGATTGAACCCAAGATCTCTGCACTGTGAGGTCGACGCACTAACCACTGGACCATCAGGCCTCCCCCCCTTCAAACTTACCCACTAATATGAAACAGTATGTAACATTATGTGGAAAACAAGTGCTCTGTGTATACCTTTTGTGTTAAAACAGTGAATAGTTGTGGTCATCGGCCAGTACATACGTGTAGAAGTCGTACCAGGTAGTTTTGCATTTACCCTTCATGTAGAGCTACCAGTATAAAAATGCAAAAGGGACAGGGCATACGGAAAGTAGGTGTGTACATGTGTTAGTTGCAGTCATAGATCCTCCCCTGTAAATTATGTAAATCTGAACCTAAGAGGAACTGCATGCAAAAAACAGACGAGTTGGGTTTGCATTTGTGTGTTTGAATCGTCATAATTGCGTTCCTCTATTGGACATAACAATCATGCCCGAGAGTAATAAATTCCCCCAGCTTGATTAACTGTGCAGTTTAAAACGAGACTTTAGAAGAACAAAGTACAGTCTGTCCTCTGTTGACGACAGAGTTCTGCTCCTCTGATGGCGATGTCAGAATTTGTCTGTAATGCATTGTAGTCTGTCACAAACCGACCCTCTCACGGTGGTCAGAATTACCATAAAACATTAAGGGGGAGGCATTGCGCATTCCAAAGTTGTTGCCAAATACCACAAGGACAAGATGACGTAGGCCATTTTCCATGGATTTGAGTTGATTACATTAAAAGATAGTCCCGGATTCACAAGCCTTGTCTTCACCTAAATTTAAGGGTTCCTTTTTTTATCGCACTCCTTGTCTGAAAATTGTGCAACTCTATTAAGTAGCATGCTACCATGGTAAAAACAAAAACAAACAAAAAAAAATGCAGGCGAAACAAAATACTTGCATTGTACCCAAGCAAAACAATCACGGAAGCGCTGGTTTGCCAGTATAATTATTTTCATGAACAAACAAAAGCCAGTAAAAATTTCCCTGGCAAACATACTGACAAGCACAAAATATAACTGCCATTGTCCTTCCAAGTCGTAACTAACTACCCTGCCTCACCGCAATTTCAACTCTCCTTCTGTATAATGCGCATTGATTCAGTCCAGATTGATTCGACAGACGGCAAACTACCTCGTCCGTCTGTGTGTTGACACTGTCAAGGTGTCCTGGTCGCCCCGTTTGGCTATCAAACAGTTTGAATTGAACCTGGAGCCGCTCCAAGGCTTCTGTTTGGTAGTGCCTATATAAATAAAGATGTATTGTGTTGATAGATGGATGACACGAAGATTGGAGTCACACTGCTAATGCGATAGTAATGTTTGGGGTTTGTTTTTATAGTTTCTGTCATGGTAAACTGTGAATATCACTGCATCAGTGAACTTTGTACAATTCAGTCAGCTCATTAGACAGGAACTGAAAGGGGCTTTGACGGCTTGATTACAAATTACTTATATATAGCATGGTACACGTAAATAGTATTGCAGGGTAGGCTTGTATGCAAATACAAGTTAAATCGGGCAGTCAATTGAAGGCTTTGATTTTTTTTTCTTTTTTTTTTATCCCCTTGAGATTTATCGTTTCTACGCAAAAAAAGGAAGTGGTCATGACGATAAAGGAACTTTCTGCTGCTCTTTGTTCCATTTGTGTATAGATTTAATCCATCAGTAAATTTTTCTTCACTTGAGGAAGAGACAACGGGTTTAAAATTTAGTAAAGCAGAGCTGAACCCAACATCATTTGTAAGTTGGAAAAAGACTAGTCATCTTGCTCCTACAACATCCTGACCCATCACTGGCTGTCATTCCAGGTCTGCACATGGGGGCTGGCAAGAGCAAGCCCAAGGAACCGGGCCAGCGCTCCATGAGCGTGGACGGCACCATCGGGACGGGCTCAGACAGCGGACACTTCCACCACCTGAGCCCCGCCCAGCAGACCCAAACCCCGAACAGGAGTCCTGCGGTGGGCACGGGGCGGCGAGGTTACCAAGGGTACCAGCATGCACCCACCAACACCCCTGAGCTTGCTCTCTTTGGAGGAGTCGACCACACGGGCACGGTCACTTCGCCTCAGAGAGGACCTTTGTCAGGTATGCTTTCCAGTTACATTGCATAGCACCAAATATTTCTCCAGTCTTAGACGGGGACTCAACAGAGCCACCGTATTGTTCCTTGGGAAGCAATTATTTCATGGTGACCCACAATGACTTTTTTTTGCTGGTTGCCTGGTAACCTCCTAGTGAGAACCAGAAGCTCAATTTATTTATTTATTTATTTATTTTATTTTTACACTTTGTACTACACACACACACACACACACACACAGTTAAAATATCATATAGATTTAGAAGAGGATCTCTACCGTGGGTTTCAACTGGGGAAAAAGTCTGGGTCGTTTTTGGTTAAAGCATTTTGCTGCAGGTTTTTGACAAGAAAAAAACAACTTTCAATGTGACCTAGTGGAGTGCACACCTCTATGTAGACCCCGTAAAATGCTCTTTCGGATCAGTAACTTTGCATATCTGCTACTTAATAGATGAATTTTCCATGTGTGGCAAACATTTTCACTATTTCACCAAAACTAAAGTGAAAACCAAAAATCATTGATACATAGGAGCATTGTGCCCTTAAGGTAAAAAATATGTGTCATGAAAAATATGCACAAAATAGTGTCAGACATGTGAGGTCTGGGCACAGTCAAGGTTAGCGCTGCGTGTGCTTTGTTTTTCCATTGGCTTTTTGGCCACATGATTTCCACATGTGATTGACCCTTCAAATCAAGGTGCATTCAGAAAAGAAGAAGAATGGAAACTGAAGTACACTTTATGGTCTTTGTTGGCCCATTGTGTTGAATTCTGCTCACTAACAAACGTCAGAGAAAAATGTTTACTTTTATCAATGTCAATTCTCTGAAATGTTGAGTCACGTCGACAGCGGAGGAGGAAGTACATTGCATAGCACCAAATATTTCTCCAGTCTTAGACGGGGACTCAACAGAGCCACCGTATTGTTCCTTGGGAAGCAATTATTTCATGGTGACCCACAATGACTTTTTTTTGCTGGTTGCCTGGTAACCTCCTAGTGAGAACCAGAAGCTCAATTTTTTTATTTATTTATTTATTTTATTTTTACACTTTGTACTACACACACACACACACACACACACACACACACAGACAGTTAAAATATCATATAGATTTAGAAGAGGATCTCTACCGTGGGTTTCAACTGGGGAAAAAGTCTGGGTCGTTTTTGGTTAAAGCATTTTGCTGCAGGTTTTTGACAAGAAAAAAACAACTTTCAATGTGACCTAGTGGAGTGCACACCTCTATGTAGACCCCGTAAAATGCTCTTTCGGATCAGTAACTTTGCATATCTGCTACTTAATAGATGAATTTTCCATGTGTGGCAAACATTTTCACTATTTCACCAAAACTAAAGTGAAAACCAAAAATCATTGATACATAGGAGCATTGTGCCCTTAAGGTAAAAAATATGTGTCATGAAAAATATGCACAAAATAGTGTCAGACATGTGAGGTCTGGGCACAGTCAAGGTTAGCGCTGCGTGTGCTTTGTTTTTCCATTGGCTTTTTGGCCACATGATTTCCACATGTGATTGACCCTTCAAATCAAGGTGCATTCAGAAAAGAAGAAGAATGGAAACTGAAGTACACTTTATGGTCTTTGTTGGCCCATTGTGTTGAATTCTGCTCACTAACAAACGTCAGAGAAAAATGTTTACTTTTATCAATGTCAATTCTCTGAAATGTTGAGTCACGTCGACAGCGGAGGAGGAAGTACTGTTTTTTTTTCCCCCTCTCCAACCTTCAGCTGTGAAATAGACTTGAAAGCTCTGACGTTAAAAGGCTGCTCAGTGCTCTGCAGACTTGACATTAAGCCTTAATGTGTCTAGACTGGCCAGATGGGTCAGCTAATATTGCTCCATCCAGTGAGCAGTCTTGAAGTGAAGTGTCTTTTTGCTGTCTCCTCACATATATTCATCAGGTTTTGCTTTTGGATGACACATCTTTCAAAGGAAGTGGCCAAAAGCTGCTCAAACAGCATGCACAGACTGATAATCAGGCCGAATTTGAGTATTTTCTCCTGTGCCGAACAAGGTCAGCAAAGGCCAGATCGTGGGATGTCTTGAAAAGATTGTTGGATGTTTTAAGCGTAATTTCCCCACCCCCAAGATCTGACCCCGCCTCTCCACAAAAAAAAAAAAAAAAAAAAAAAAAAGCAGACATGATTGTTTTGTGAAACAGGACATTAGCCAATTAGAGATATTGGTATGTGTGTGGTGTCCTGTGTTGGTCATCTCAAATACAACACACCCGATTTTTTTTTTTTTCTCTCATGTGTGTGGTTGCTCATCTCAACTCAACTCAACTGTATTTATAGAGCACTTTAAAACAACCATCGCTGTATACAAAGTGCTGTACATGGAGCAACTATCATATATACAACAATAAAACAACAAATTAATAACAAAGACAGTCGAAAGCACCAAACAGTAAGACTAAGATCAAGTCTGAGTCATGCCGTGTCAAATGCCATAGAATACAAATGAGTTTTGAGACGAGTTTTAAAGATGGGCAGCGAGGGGGCTTGCCGAATGTTCAGTGGGAGGTCATTCCAAAGAGGTACCAGCAACGGAAAAGGCTCGATCCCCTCTGAGCCTCCGCTTAGTTCTTGGTACTTCGAATAATGTGTGGTCCGCAGACATTATCTCACATTCATATTTGTATCGCTCATATTCAAATAAATTGCAGGGTAAATGTTAAAAATCAGTATGTCTAGTGCCATGAAAGGATATTTGCACTCTTCTCAAATTCTTACTTTTTTTGCATAGTTTCCCCACTTTAATGTTGAAGATCATCAAACAATTCATAAAGCCAAGTTAACATAAAATGGAGTAGTTAAATGATGATTTTATTTATTAAAGGGAGAAAAATTAATCAAAGCTACTGTACTGGACCATGTGTGGAAAAAGTACTTGCCCCCCTAAACTTAATACAGTCTTGTGATTTCTGGGCTACAAAATCCACCTGATTAAAAGATACAACAGCTAAATTTAGCCATTAAAACACATTTGTACATACATTGGCCGCTTTGTTTTAATTAATACAATTACTGCTAAATTAAAAATAAAATAAATACAATATGATACAATAAAATCAGCATGGCTCAGTAATAGAGTGGTCATCTCTCAATCCAAAGATTTGTGGGTTTGATTTTTTTATTTTATTTGTTTATTTATTTTTACTCTGAAACACGAGTAGGCACTACCCCCCCGCCCCAAACAGCAAGTTACACGGTGGCCTCCCTCAACCTTTCTCAGTCATGCTTGTTGTCTCATGAGGTCCATTCGCCAACAAGCTTCATCAGGTAGCAGTGCACATAAATCCGTGGGAGTGCAACCTTGGGAAAGCAGTTTGTTATATGTTTGGGAGATACAGAGGATGTCACTACATGGATAGAAATGCTCTAATTTGTGGCTAGCCATTAGTGCCTGTCGTCAGTTGCCAGCGATGGTGGAAGTCGGTCGCTAAACAAACAACAGAGAGACGGGGGGTTGCACTGCAGAGATGGCTGTATTTATGGAACTTGTTCCTTATGCTCATGAAACTAAACTTAGGATGCTTATTTTTGCTTTACTATATCCTCTTTTAGCTCCTACACAGCCACATACCACTACACACACACGCACACACTTCCCCATTTCAGGCAGGAACTCTGCCATCGATATCATTTGTGCCCAGTCTCTTAGTCATTGTTGAGTCACTAACACTGACCTTAACTGAGGCAAGGGAGGCCATCACTTCCTTAGACAACTTGGATTCCTTTGTGACCTCCTGGCTGGGTCGTTGCTGTCTTCTTGGGTTAATTTCTGCAGGCTGGCCACTCCTGGGAATGGTCACCACCATTTCATGCTTTCTCAATTTTTGGATAATGGCTCTTACCGTGATTCGCTGCGGTCCTAAATTTTTAGCAATGACTTTGTACATGTTTCTCATTTGTTCTTGAATTTCTTTGGATGGATCATAGCATTATGATGCAGCTTTTTGAGATCTTTTGGCCGACTTAATTTTGTCAGACTGCTTCTATTTAGGTGATTTATTAATTGAACAGGTCTGGAGGTACTCAGGCTTGGGTGTGGTCAGTGAGAATGAACTGGAAAATGTGATTAGCCATCCTAAATTCGTGATTTCACAATGGAAGCAAGTACTTTATCACACAAGGTCAGGCGTGCGTATTTGGAACTGAGAGTCGGCGCTTGGAATTGAAGTGGATTTACATAGGACTGGAGAAGTGAAGCAATCTCTTTTTTTTTTTATCAATGGATGCAATAGCTTCTTGTTTAGTTTCAATCTTAACTTGTGGCAGACGTGTGGGACGTGATGCACGTTTTGAGCATGACGTCTCTGATCCACCGGTGAAAGCAGACTTTGATTCTCTCCTCTTTCATCTATAACTGCTTCAAACAACAAAGCATATGCAGGAAAAGTGGTTAAGATTGCATGACTGCCCGTGTCTTATGTTATGTGTTATTCTATTCTTTTGTTATTTGATGATAAGTGTTCTGAAAAGCACTTTGTTACTGCTACAGCTGTGAAAGCGCTACACTGTATAAATAAAGATGTATTGTATCGTAAAGCAAATCACCATTTAAAACTCTATTGTATGTTACTTGGGTTATCTGTTTTCTGATTTTTACATTTGTTTGATAATCTTAAACATTGACGTGGGTAAAAAAAGGTAAGAATTTGAGACAAGTGCAAATACATTTTCTCGGCCCTTATTTACCCTACGACAGACAGTAGATGGAGCTTTGTCCTTCACACGTTATCGGTCACCTGAAGTCTGCATGTCAATATTTCTCATCAAGCCATGACAAATTGTTCAATCTACACATAGAGTGTATGGAAAATAACTATGGATTTGTATTACATTAGAATTAAGGACTATATGTGCCTGACAGGGTTAATATTCATGTAGTTGTACTTAACCATCTTGATCCCTAAACGCCTTTTGGCGTGCGGTTTCTTGCAGGAGGTGTCACTACGTTTGTGGCTCTGTATGATTATGAGTCACGGACAGCATCCGATCTGACCTTTCGGAAAGGCGACAGACTGCAGATTGTCAACAACACGTAAGAACCCACAGTTGACCTTGTGTGTTTTATTTCCCCCTCCTCCTTTCTTATACCGCAGATTAATGTTAACAGATTTGGACAATGCATGTTTGCTGAAACGCACCAAAACAAACTGTACGCGTTGAAGGATGTTCACAATTCTGTCATCACACTTCTTGCTAATCCGTACACTCACTGGCCACATCACTTCTGTAGATACGCAATCAAGTGAGTTTGACTTCAAGTGTATTAACAAAAATGAAAATAAAAGTTTTGATTTGTATTACAATACAGTGGTGCCTTGAGATATGCGTGACCCAACTCGTGAGTTTTGTTTCTTCATTTTCAGTTTTGATTTGCAAATTTAAAACTGACTAAAAGTAAAAAGTAAAAGATTTTCAAGTGCTGTTTTCCTTATTTAAAAATACATTATAAAAAGGTTGGGTTTTTGAGGAGGCTGGAACAGATTAATGACATTTCCCATTCATTTCAATGGGCAGAGATGATTTACAACAGTTTGGTGCTATGAGCATGGTCACAGAATGAATTCAACTCGTATCTGAAGGCACTATTGGATATATTATAAAATATGCAAAATGAAGTGCACTGTGCTAGGAGGTATTTTGTAATTTTTCAGCCCTTTCATGTCGGTAACTGAGCAAATATTCGAAACATGTCTCATTTTGCTGCAGTGCAACTTCAATAATGTAAATACAGATGCATCTCTAAATTACAATATCTTGGAAGACTGAATTTATGTTAGAAGCTTAATTCAAAAAGTGAAACTCTCATTATAAGGATAAATGCTTCTCTAAGATTGGTAATCAAAGCAAAGGCCATGTAAGGATCTTTTTTTCTTCAAATGGGTTCCTTTCGTAGCTTCCTGCCATGTTTTTTTTCCCTGTTCTTTTATCTGCTGGTTGGGATGACATATTAGGGCTGAACAAAGATGAATCTATAATATTCGAAGTGTATAAATAAAACATCAAGTGCATCCACAACTCCTCGATTGGAAAATGTACACGAGGATGCTCCCTGGGTCTTCTGTACTGAAATGATGTAACGTAGTATGTCGGCCCCGCTGTGTCGTCCCACCGCGTGTTCTCCGCCTCCGCTGTCTGTCTGAGTGCTGCTCGCCTTGCTGTGTTTTGATGTGTCTGCTGTGTCTGTTATCTCTCCCTCTGTCTCTCTCTCTCTCTCTCTCTCTCTCTCTCTCTCTCTCTCTCTCTCTCTCTCTCTATCTATCTATCTATCTCGCTCTCTCATGCCTCATGGTCTCTCCTAGGAAAAAGTACAGCTTCAGGTCAGTAATCCTTACTGCAATAAAAAGACAAATCCTTTGCAACCCTTTTTATCCGCACTAATGCTGAACCACGCTGTAATGTTTGTACAGAGATGATGGGCATGATGAATATGTTTTGCACATACTGTAACCATGTAACAGATAGTTGCTCATTAAATGGAATGAGGTTCCCCATGCTGGCAAAGTGTGTCAATACATCTGCATTCCCTGAGTCATTATACATTTTGTACCACTATGCGACTAATGCCTCACATGTTGAAGCACTGGACATGTCGATAGAATGGATTGTTGGTTAGTAAAATATTTACTAACCAATAAAAACATTTGACATGCTCAAGAACCATGGAGTGGAGTCCTTTAGCGCATCAAAAACTTTGGCAATCCCTCCATTTCTGTATGCTGTGTCCCATGAGACAAGCAGTGTCCCAAATATTGCATTAAGTATAAAACGGATTGTAAGTAATTTGAGGGAGGTTCCCGAGGCTGGCAAAATGTAAAATTTTCTATTATTACATGACTAGTGCACCTATCATTGCAGTCCTGTATGTCACCATATATATTTTGTAAGTTAATGGGGTGAGGTTTCCCAGGCTGGCAAAGTTTCCACTTCAGTATTTTAGTATTCCCTAAATTTCTGTAAGTTGTTTACCACTACTCAACCAATACTCAAAAAAAACTTAATTCTGTATACGCACATGAAATGTTTGTTTGCTGGTAAGTAAATAGGGTAAGGTTGCCAAGGCTGAGAAAGTTAGCGCATCATTTTATCTGCATCCACACAATTTCTGTAAGTTGCGTCCAACTGCCGGTTATCGCAGCGCGAAACTAGAAAACAGACTTTTTGTCAGTATATGAAATTTGTTTCCTCAGAGTGGCGATGTAAGCATACCAATGTGATTTTTTTAGTTTGGAGTATAAATTCTTTTTTAATTGCTGAAATGTATTTGGGTGCTCATCCCCAACATGCAATAAAGTGTCCAATAATTACTTCCAGTCAAAAAACTGGGAACTGCAGTGAGTGGGTCAGCATGTGCTAAGCTTCCTTTTTCCTTCTCTTCAGACGGCACTTTTCGGCGATGATGAGTCAAGGTGACACAGTATTAAGCTAACTCTAAAAAAAGAAAACTCGGTATCGCTAAATCCTGGCAGCTTGTTCTGTCTGCACAACTGACCTTTATAGTCACCTCACAGCTATTAAAGCCACACAGAATGTCGGAGGATTAGGAGGCACCTGTGAGTTTTCCATAATTTCCTTTTTTATCTTCTTTGTCTGCATTTGCCATCACAGAGAAGGGGACTGGTGGTTGGCTCGCTCCCTGACGACCGGAGAGAGCGGTTACATCCCCAGCAATTACGTGGCCCCGTCAGACTCCATCCAGGCGGAAGAGTACGTCCCACCTGATATACTGCACTGTATAGCAACGCCTTGCCTTTGGAAGCAAACTGTACCACTTCTTCTGTGGCCCACTTTTGGCAGGTGGTATTTTGGGAAGATCACTCGGCGAGACTCAGAAAGGATCCTTTTGAATTTACAGAACAGACGAGGAACCTTCCTGGTGAGGGAGAGTGAGACGACAAAAGGTGAGACTCCACCAATGTCTGGTATACGGGATACAAGAGGGCCTCAGTTTATAGTGGGACGGACATGTGACGTTTTAGGCTTGCAAACAGCGCAAAATGAACTCGCAAGTGCAGTGGCATAAGAAATAGCTGTCACCAATGACGCCTGGCCAGCAGAATTCTTAATTTGTTCTCTGTCCCCATCTGTAACTCAAAACGTTCATAAATCGAGGTAACATTTCCCATTGAAATGAATGGAAATCCATTCCAACCTCTGTGTGGCGTTTGCATGTTCTGTCCGGGCCTGCGTGGGTTTTCTCTGAGTACTCCGGTTTCCTCCCACATTCCAAAAACATGCATGGTAGGCTGATTGAACACTCTAAATTGTCCCTAGGTGTGAGTGTGAGCGCGGATAGTTGTTTGTCTCTGTGTGCCCTGCGATTGGCTGGCAACCGGTTCAGGGTGTCCCCCGCCTACTCCCCGAAGATGGCTGGGATAGGCTCCAGCACCCCCCGCGGCCCTTGAGAGGGTAAAGCGGTTCAGAAAATGGATGGATGGATGGACACACACACACACACACACACACACACACACACACACACACACACACACATCCCTTGTTACTTCCAGTCAAAAAACTGGGAACTGCAGTGAGTGGGTCAGCATGTGCTAAGCTTCCTTTTTCCTTCTCTTCAGACGGCACTTTTCGGCGATGATGAGTCAAGGTGACACAGTATTAAGCTAACTCTAAAAAAAGAAAACTCGGTATCGCTAAATCCTGGCAGCTTGTTCTGTCTGCACAACTGACCTTTATAGTCACCTCACAGCTATTAAAGCCACACAGAATGTCGGAGGATTAGGAGGCACCTGTGAGTTTTCCATAATTTCCTTTTTTATCTTCTTTGTCTGCATTTGCCATCACAGAGAAGGGGACTGGTGGTTGGCTCGCTCCCTGACGACCGGAGAGAGCGGTTACATCCCCAGCAATTACGTGGCCCCGTCAGACTCCATCCAGGCGGAAGAGTACGTCCCACCTGATATACTGCACTGTATAGCAACGCCTTGCCTTTGGAAGCAAACTGTACCACTTCTTCTGTGGCCCACTTTTGGCAGGTGGTATTTTGGGAAGATCACTCGGCGAGACTCAGAAAGGATCCTTTTGAATTTACAGAACAGACGAGGAACCTTCCTGGTGAGGGAGAGTGAGACGACAAAAGGTGAGACTCCACCAATGTCTGGTATACGGGATACAAGAGGGCCTCAGTTTATAGTGGGACGGACATGTGACGTTTTAGGCTTGCAAACAGCGCAAAATGAACTCGCAAGTGCAGTGGCATAAGAAATAGCTGTCACCAATGACGCCTGGCCAGCAGAATTCTTAATTTGTTCTCTGTCCCCATCTGTAACTCAAAACGTTCATAAATCGAGGTAACATTTCCCATTGAAATGAATGGAAATCCATTCCAACCTCTGTGTGGCGTTTGCATGTTCTGTCCGGGCCTGCGTGGGTTTTCTCTGAGTACTCCGGTTTCCTCCCACATTCCAAAAACATGCATGGTAGGCTGATTGAACACTCTAAATTGTCCCTAGGTGTGAGTGTGAGCGCGGATAGTTGTTTGTCTCTGTGTGCCCTGCGATTGGCTGGCAACCGGTTCAGGGTGTCCCCCGCTTACTGCCCGAAGACGGCTGGAATAGGCTGCGGCAACCCCCGCCACGCCTGTGAGGATAAAGCGGGTTGGGAAATGGATGGGTGGGTGGATCTCGCTCTCTCTCTCTCTCTCTTTCTCTTTTTTTTCTCACTCACACACACACACACACACACACACACACACATCCCTAATGTGTGTACACTAAGTTTTTTTTTTCGACTGATACTTTTAATTTCCCGCCTCTCCAAACCGATACTGACAACCGATAACTTATATTTATTTTTTTTATACGACAAATATATCTGTTGTTGCAGCTTCATGTAGTGGGGATCAGCGACCAACGTACAGTCACAAGTTTGGCTACTTTCTGAACTATGGTCACCTCAGACGGTGAAGTGATGAGTAATCTCAAAAGCGGCGATGTGTATCAGTACCCATTGATAAAATTGCTCGTGCTTTGTTGTCACCCCACTAGCGTTTTGTATATATTGTAATGCTTCACAGAATAAGTCATTCTCCAAATTGTTATTTACTAGCAGTGACATTTCAACAATGCACATTGCACACACGCATATTTTTAAATAAAGACAGGGCCCCAAACATTTTTGCGCTACTGGAACATTTTCATGTGAAGACATTTTTATGAACCAAAATAAAAACAAATGATGAAAAATATCACTCACCACAGCTACACTCCAAGGAGCCTCGGTAATTTGTATTGCAACAAGTTCAGGAGGACACAGTGCAGTGTCATAGCCTTTGCTATCCATCCATCTATTTCCTAAACCACTTATCTTCACTTTTAGAGATTAGCTTTGCCATAGCTCGGCTCGGATGTCCCGCTTTTGTTTACGTTGCCTTATGCCGTCTACCGCGCCTGCCAGACTCAACAACAATGCTTGGGGGCATGCTACTATATCTCGTTCGGGAAGTTGAAAGTGTGTGTTTATTTTTTTCTAGTTCTTTAAATTGCTGTGTAGTTTTTTTTTTAACACACAAAAAAAAAATAAGGATCCAGGGACCCTTTCTCATTTGAAGTCAAAATGACCACGATCAGGGACCCTTTCTCATTTGAAGTCAAAATGACCACATATCTTTGAGCTTTAGATGACAGTTTTGTTACACATTTAGAGTATCCACTTAAACTGTCTGTATATACAGTAGGAGCCTCTGAGCATGTGTAATCAAGCAGAAAGAAAGGTCATTGAAGTGGCACATGCCCTTTCGCGTTCATATTAATCAATTCCACACAAATTTTCTCGACTATTTTCTGTTGGTCACATCTGAGCACATAGTGACTGCAGACTGTTAAAAGAAACAGTTTAATGGACTGTTCAGACGGCAGCACACAGTATTGTGCAAAGTGAAAAACTGTAACGTTATCATGAAATATGTGAGGAAGTGCATTTTAACAAGGTAGTAAAATATGTATGTAAGCCTTAAGGTACATTGCATCTGGAAAATACTCACAACACTTCACTGTTTCCGCATTTTGTTTTAAGATTTAATTTGATTTGATTTCGATTTTTTTGAGGATTTGGCCAATTAGATAAAAGATATGAAACAAACTAAGAAATTAATTTTGAGCTTCCTCACAAAGTTACAGTACATGTGCATGGTATTGTGTGCAGAATTTCAAGGGAACTATGAGTCAATTTTGGAATAAGGCTGAAACATGAAACAAAATGTGGAAAAACGGAAGCTCTGTGAATACAAGGTTGCTAATGACAACTGCTGTCTGTACAATTCCCACATTAAAAAGTCGGCTTCCTATTCAGCCCCAGCTGGGCAATTAAATAACGAGAAAGTAGGAAGTAATGACGTTGCCTCGCCAACCCTGGTGGACTTCTGTGTGCATCGCAGTTGAGGCAAAGCTACCGAGATGTTAAGTGAGACAATTTGTACGAGACACACGCTCGTAATGATATCAATTGGAGGCACTCGCACAGGCCCGTGGCGCCGCGCCTTTGTTCTCCAAGCCTGTGGCGGTGCTTCTACTGGGTTGGCATTGCCTGTGACATACAGCAGCACTTTGGAGGGTTGGGGAGGGGGTTGTTTTTGAAGGAAGCGCGTGTGCCGAGGTAGGGAGGGGTGAATAGATAGGGGTGAATCACAGTGTCAGAAGTAGGTCAGTCTACGAGGGTGCTGCAATTCTCTCCTGCGGCTACAAGCCCCAGTTCACCATGAGAGTCAAAGATGAGGCTGAAGGGGTAGAAGGAAATATAATGGAAGGAAGGAGGGAGTCTTATTAGATGTCGAACGTGATACTTATGGTGACAGATATGTCGCATTATGGTTGAATCGAGTCAGACTGACGAAGATGCATGACTCACCTGGCGTCATTGTTTATATCAACTGGTGCTATGAGAACAATGTGGTAAAAGGGTGAGTCGTGGGTTTACTAGCTTGACATTTTGTGTGAAAGGACATTGATCATGTATTTTTGTCACAATTTAAAGCAGTTCCTAGTTGTCTGAATATCAAGTCTATGACAGAGTACTTTTCAAAATACCCCAAGATTCATGAATTTTTGGACAATTGACACACCCTGAAATTAGTTCGTTTTCAGGAGCGACACTTTACCCCATCCATTGCAACTCTGTCACAAAGCGGCCTTTTACAGGCATTGCTGGAAATAGCCTTGCGGTATTTAAATGACTAGTAGCATTTGTCCTGAGCCACCAAATGCTTCCATCCATCCATCCATCCATGCATCCTCATGTTGCAATAATATAAGAACGATTTCCCGTTCTGCGTTTGATGTGAACTGAAGTGTGCTACTTGGTGACACCCAAAAGAGGTGCTGTTGATTCAGCCGTAACTAGTTTGTTGTCTAAAAAACAATAACATGTTTCTTGTTACATAGCAGTTCTTGTTGGAATTTTAAATGTGAACAAATATGTCCCTGAGGAAAAACACACTTTTCTCACCATTTTCTGCCAATTGCTCATTTTTGTTCTTTTCGCCATCGTCAATCAGTGAATGCTGTTGTAAAAAATCGCCAAGAAAAACATGTTAAAATGTTTGCTCTAAAAAGTGTTAGTGTGTTTTGTGTTTTTGAACAATATTAGGATGAAATTAAACATCCATCCATCCATTATCTGAGCCGCTTATCCTCACAAGAGTCACGGGTGTGTTGGAGCCGATCCCAGCTGTCTTCGGGCATAAGGCGGGGTACACCCTGAACTGATTGCCAGGCACTCGTGGAAAAAATGGCATTTTCTCACAATTCCAAGACGTTACGGCATTATCAAATATCTGTACTCTGTATCGATAAGTACGCAATAGGTACTTGTACTTGTTCTCTGTCGCAAAAAGAGGGCTATAGGTGCATCGCAAGTTAGGCCCTAACAAAAAGAAATGGCAAAAGAATATAGTGACATTCTCCTAAATCACAGACTTAAGCGCATCGACAGACGAGGGCAAATGGCACTATCGCATTCTTCGACCTCCTATAGGGCCCAGCGGGAAGTTGACCCGGCGCAGCTGTTGGGAAACGCCACAGAGCAGCTGTCCCAGATGCCTGACACGCTTTTATTGTTCCACTCCTTCTCTATACATTTTTTTTTTCCTCCTTAGGAGCTTACTGCCTTTCGGTGCTGGATTATGACAACACCAAAGGTCTGAATGTGAAACATTACAAGATCAGGAAGCTGGATAGCGGCGGCTTCTACATCACGTCCCGCACGCAGTTCACCAGCCTGCAGCAGTTAGTCTTCCATTATCGCAGTGAGTATGCAGACGCTTACTGCACAAAAGCTCTGAAACCCTCCCTGACGTCTCACATTGCTCATCCTACAGAGCATTCCGATGGGCTGTGCCACGCCTTGACCGACGTGTGCCCCGTGGCCAAGCCTCAGACGCAGGGTCTGGCTCGAGATGCCTGGGAGATCCCTCGAGAGTCCCTCCGGCTTGACCTTAAACTCGGCCAGGGCTGCTTCGGAGAGGTCTGGATGGGTAAGAACTGCACTGCGCTGTACTCAAAGCTACGTCCACACCTTAGTTAATGTAATACTAATTAGGGCACACCTCACCGGTTTTCTGAGCTTGGTTATGTGATATTCTCAATATGAGCCAGAGGGCGCTTTGACCTCAATTCCAGTCGACAGCAGAGGGCAGTAAAATGTCCCTGAAATGGGTGCATTAATCTGCTTATATCGTACATTTCCCACCAGTGAATCGCACCAGTCCAAAAATAAATCATGAAGAGGAAAATATCTATAAGTCGTAGTGGACTACAAGTCACATTTTTGGTCGAAATTGATTTTATAAAACCGGAGACCAAGAACAGTAGATCTCAGACTCGCGTCCAAAATCCACCTTACCCACTCATGTTGGTCGGAACTACCACTTCTAAATATGGAATCGTTTTTCTTTATAGTTTAAAATGGCTCACCTTGACCGCATGCTAAAGATAGTTATGCACCATAAGTATTTTCCAACCACCAAAAGAAGATGGGAGAAGAAAAGAAGAAATAGAAGACGAAGATGAAGTCACGGCAACTAATGTGAGACCATCTCCCGAGCTAGCTCACAAAATTAGCCTGCGGCATCCGCCACCAAAAGATGCAATGACCGACCAGGATTGTACCTGTGGCCACAATGTGACACAGGTTTGTAGTTACAGTAAAACATTTTGAACTAAAAGAAAAAGTTTTCCAGAGTTAGAAGCGTAACTTTCAAATCCAACTAGGAGTTGCTCACTTTTCTTTATTAACTGAAATACTTATGGTTTAAACTCACAGTACAGGCAATTATGGACATTCTAAGATTATGTCACAGACTCACACTTTTTCGCTATTTGCAATAAATTCTAGGCGCCATAGTGATGAGATAATTGACCCTAAATGAATAACAATGGTCAACGGTAAATATTAATCATAGATTGCTTTGTGTGTCCCTAAACGCATTTTTAATGCTGCCTTCAAAAAAATTTTGATGCACATTGGGTATTTCAAGTATTTTTATTTATTTATGTGTTTATTTTTTTTAACTTTGACCGAGAAAAGCATGCACAATACACATTTTACCGTGGGTTGAAATTTATAGCGTGATTCAGAAAAAAAAATTCCACCTTTTCCTGAACCTAAACCTTAATTCATAAATATGACTAAATATATGATTATATTACATATTATTGATGTTTATATTATTATTTACTATTACAAAAATCTGATATGTGATGGGAAAAAAACAAGGGTAGAATCAGAACAAAAAGACATCATCTAGAAAAGTTTATTTGTATCTGATTTAAAAAAAAAAATGTAAAAAATGTGTTCACCAGTGTGATAATTAAGTGAATTGTAACTACTCCAAAAAAGCTTGTCTGCGGCATGCTTTTCAAACACCCTAAGGATGAAGAATTACACCACAGTTTTCTCCCTATTGTTCTTGTATTGCTGTTTTGAAGATCCTATATCACAAAAATATTCCATGGTTAACCTGTAGCCGTTTTTTTTTTTTGTTTTTGTTTTTGTTTTTTTATTGTGATGACTGGGGACAAATATTGCCATTGCAGCCCAGCAATTGAAATAAAAAGTGAATACCACCGTGAGAATCAAAGATAGATCGTTTCATTTATTCATTCATGGAGGCAGAACTTCATCGATAAGTCACCGAATTACGCTAGTCAACGAGTGTCATTGCGAGCTGTTAAGTCATGGGTGTAGAAATTTGGTGTGAAGGGGAACTGTTATATAAATGCAGAACGACTTGATCAATGACGCGGACAAGATATTTGCTCGCCTCGATCCTTTAATTTGTGTACACGCAATTAAAAAGTCAATATGCCACAATAATTGCGAGCCTAAGTCACTTTTAACATACTCTCACCTTGTCAATAAAAAAAATTACTAAAGTAATTGTAAATCTTGTTTTTTTTCTTTATGGCTGTGTAAATTGTCAGTCATCCAGGTCAATTTAATGTGCAAAGGATGAATTGAGGCATTTGTTGTTTTTCTTGTTTTTGGAAAATGGTTAAAAATGACGAAGACAATTATGCTTTTAGGCTAACAGTCTGTCCCTTTTACCATTTAGCTTCTGTGGCGGGTGCAAAATCCCACAAAGATAATCCTGACGACAGGTTCTACAAGGTTAACATGTTTCGTTTTGTTCTACTTTTTGGTCAGGCACGTGGAACGGTACGACACGGGTGGCCATTAAGACCCTAAAGCCGGGTACTATGTCACCAGAGGCCTTTCTGCAAGAAGCGCAGGTCATGAAGAAACTCAGGCATGAGAAGCTGGTCCAGCTTTACGCCGTGGTGTCTGAGGAACCCATCTACATCGTGACCGAATATATGAGCCAAGGTCATTTTTAAAATATTTTTATTATGACCTCATGAATGCCCTCAGATTGGCTGGAGACCAAAGTCAGCTGGGGTAGGCGCCAGCTAACTCACTTGATCCAAATGAGGAAAAGTGCTGTCTAAAATGGATGGTAGGCTGGATGGCGACATTAGACTTCATTCACTGGCCATTTCATTAGGTACAGATCCATCAGTGAAATGAGTGCTGCATCAGAAATTCTGCCTGATAAAACGAGAGTAGCGTTCAGGTATTGATTTGGGTGTTTGCATTGGCACAAAGCTGCTTGCTGTGAGCTGTTCCGAATATTTTGATCCGCTCGTGTGGCTTAACAGGGAAAACAAATATTGGATTGGGTCTGAGTAATATAGTGCACCAATGTGTACGACTCAATTAGATCCTTTTAACTAAATGTAAACTTCTTTCTAAATGGTGTTTTATCTCACCCCCACAGGCAGCTTACTAGACTTCCTCAAAGGAGAAGCAGGCAAAATGCTTCGACTGCCTCAGCTGGTGGACATGGCAGCGCAGGTCGGGCCTCTGTCGTGCTGCATCCCATAATTCCACTGCGACACCAACGCAACCACATTCTCTCTGTTGCGCCTTTTATCCAGATTGCAGCGGGGATGGCGTATGTGGAGAGGATGAACTACGTGCACAGAGATCTGCGCGCCGCCAACATCCTGGTGGGAGACAACCTGGTGTGCAAGGTGGCCGACTTTGGCTTGGCGAGACTCATAGAAGATAACGAGTACACTGCCAGGCAGGGTGCGTTTCAGCTTAGTCTTCTCCACTGTGCAGTGTTTTCGTTGTTGGTGTGCGTGCGTGCAACCTCCTGCCCTTTTAAAAAATATACATTTATGTAAGGAGTTCTTTTGGTTGGTTAAAAACTGCAGGTCAAGTTGCCCAATTCAAATGTCATGCTGATCTCAAATGTTTGTTTCCCCCCCACCCCTTGTACATTTCAAGTGAGACATCAGATACGGCTGTTTACACACAAGAAACAACCCGCATCCACAGATGCCCAAATTTCACAAAAATCACTAGTTCTTGCTAAATACAGTAATATTTTTTTTAAAGAATGTGCTGTGGATATGCTGAGTCAGAACTAAGTTTCAGTCATCATTTTCTACATCTGATCCATATTCCATGTGCCTTGTGACTGACTGACGACCAGTTCAGGGTGGAGTCCGCCTTTCGCCCGAAGTCGGCTGGGAGAGGCTCCAGGACCCTCCCGCAACTCTGTTCTAGATAACAAGTGTTGAAAATTGATGGATGGATGATTCATATTTCCGATTTGTTGTAAAAGTGGGTTGAAAAACGAGTCCCTTCTTTTGTAAAACTTACTATGAAAGAAATATGTGTCAGTATGGTCTTACAGCCATGCGGTAAACTTGAATATAATCGACGCATCTCAGTTCCACACAAGAAACAACCCGCATCCACAGATGCCCAAATTTCACAAAAATCACTAGTTCTTGCTAAATACAGTAATATTTTTTTTTAAAGAATGTGCTGTGGATATGCTGAGTCAGAACTAAGTTTCAGTCATCATTTTCTACATCTGATCCATATTCCATGTGCCTTGTGACTGACTGACGACCAGTTCAGGGTGGAGTCCGCCTTTCGCCCGAAGTCGGCTGGGAGAGGCTCCAGGACCCTCCCGCAACTCTGTTCTAGATAACAAGTGTTGAAAATTGATGGATGGATGATTCATATTTCCGATTTGTTGTAAAAGTGGGTTGAAAAACGAGTCCCTTCTTTTGTAAAACTTACTATGAAAGAAATATGTGTCAGTATGGTCTTACAGCCATGCGGTAAACTTGAATATAATCGACGCATCTCAGTTCCGGCGCCGTCTTAATCAATGTAATGCTTATCGAAATGTCTTCAACAGACGTTGTCGATTTGCCAGATGTCTCTGCATGAAAGTCGTCAAGGTTCTTTTAGAAATCATCTTCGTAAATGTCATCCACTGACTTTTGAATTTTACAGGTAGGAAATTTTTTGGCTTGGCTGATGTCTTCTTTCCCCCTCCTCATTATTCATCAGGAGCTAAGTTCCCCATCAAGTGGACGGCCCCCGAGGCTGCTCTTTATGGACGCTTCACCATCAAGTCGGACGTGTGGTCCTTCGGGGTGCTGCTTACAGAGCTGGCCACGAAAGGCCGAGTCCCTTATCCAGGTAAACCCTCACACGAACACCCACCAAGTTCGCATTGACCTTTGGCGAGAGAAACTGGCCACCCCCTGGACTGTTCGCTAGCTAATCGAAGGGTACATACCGACAAACAAGCATTCACGCTCACACGTGTGGAGAATTTACAGCAGGGTCACTTACCTTTTATAAGATTAAAATCTACTTTTTGGTTTCAGATGAATGTAACTGGTTTGCCACTGTTTGATACACACCTCTGAAATAACTCATTAGTTCATATTACACTGGTCAACATTTTTTTTGGACTGCATATATCAGAGCTGCAAGTAAAGCGTAAAGAGACAACGTCATCTTTGATTAAGATTTTATGTTGACCCCTGTGATTTTGCGGTAAATCATCTCATCGCTGTTACACCTGCTAGCTCGTAGCGAAAACATGAATTCACACATCCTCGAAGTCTTCATAATTGCCTCTATTAATAGTTTATACTAGAAATATACCACAAACTATGAACCCCAAACAGTATAAAATTCTTGTAAAGTGCTAATAAATGTCTTATAAAAATTTCAGATGACTGAGAGGAGTGTTTTCAACGCTCTTCTACCAAATTTGAATGATGTTAAAAAAAAATTTTAAAAAGCGGAATTGGGGCCATAAATATTGGGACATCTTCTTTTTGGCTCTAAACACCAACACGCTGAATTTGAAAAGAGCCGAACAAGATGTGCTTTCACTGCATTTTTTTTAGGTTATTTTAATCCAAAATCAAATACAGTACACATTGGTCACCCATATTATAGTGTGTAACGTGAGGATTGCGACCCCATGTGGACAGAAATAAAACCACAACCTCACGTATAGTACAGTATGTGTAATCTGCATAAAAATTTCAAATCTATAAATAATCAAATAATATATGGTCGCTACATCTGCTGCAGCATCACCCTTGCGATAGACGAGGCATTACTGCACTACATAATTGTCAGTCTTTGCACGTCTTCAAACATGTCCAATGTACTTGGGCGCAGATGGCCCTGGGGACGATTTATGATGACCGTGATCCATCCCCTCCACTTGTGCCACCACGTAAGGCGCCAAAAAATTTCCGATAAACAGAGGACATTGATCCTGCTCTACGTATGTTGCGCTAACCACTATTGATGCGATTATGTTACACAAACACGTTGCAGTCGGATCTCCAAATCAGCAAGGCAGGCAAATCTTACAAGCCCCACATAGAAATCATACTATCTGCTACTCACGTAAACGCCATATTTACGGATTTGTAGTACGTTTGTGAAGTCGGGAAGTGCTGCGAGCACGCAGCTCTGCTGTTATGGTGTGCAGAGCTCTAAATTCCCACTCTCAGTGTAACTTGAACACACCACCGCGGTGGGCATGAGTCTTCTGTAAAAAAATTACGTGTTTGCTCAACGTGAAAGACAGAAGCAAAGAACAATTTTCATGGATATTTGGTGCTTTTTTTCTCCTTACCTAGATACATCTTGCACCAAGCGCACAACACAAGGTGAATCGAAATTAAAATATGGGTTTTGCGGCCAATGGGAGGTCCTCAGGAACAGGAAGCCATGCATTGCTCTTTTTAATGCTCAGAAATAAAAAGAAAAGAAAAAGAAGAAAAATAATCCCAGCATTTTTGTAAAAAAAAAAAAAAAAACAGTAACGTAGACGGCCATATCCTATGCTCGATGCTTGCTGGCAAGATGTGGCAACGCAATTATTTTGTAATGTCAGATAGCTTGTCACAGTAAGAAAAGACTGAAAATCCACACTGTCCGAAATAATAAAGAGCACCTGAATCAAGATCATTGTAAACTGAAAACAATTTTATTCTGTATGGACTGTTGGACATTCACCATAATACTACTGTTGTGAATTTCATGTACATCTTACATAATTATCTTTGTTTATGTAACTGTGTTGTTGTCAAATGCTAAAATACGTTTTGGTGGGTGATTGGCATTCAATGCAAGCAAATAATAACAATTTCATGATGTACAACTTATGTCGAATGGTAGGTGTTATTTTTCATTTTATTTTTTTACAAAAATCATTGTTTAGCTCTCTGTAATCTGCGCCCCTGCTTTATCATTCAAACTCATTTTACAACATTACCCTCAAAATAAATGCAAAACACACCTCAGGCGTGCACGCACATACAGAGAAGACTCTGCGTATCTCCCGCAAACAACCCAGGCTAAACTTAGCTCCTCACCGATACATAGCACGTCTGTCAGTCGACATGTTTCATTTTGACTTACTTTCTTGACACCATTGTCTTTGTGACTTCCCTTTGCAGGCATGGTGAACCGCGAGGTTTTAGACCAGGTGGAGCGCGGCTACCGGATGCCGTGCCCGTCCGAGTGTCCCGGCTCCCTGCACGAGCTCATGCTCTCCTGCTGGCGGAAGGACCCGGAAGAGAGGCCCACCTTTGAATACCTGCAGGGCTTTCTGGAGGACTACTTCACCTCCACGGAACCGCAGTACCAGCCTGGGGAGAACCTATAGAACCGCGCGCACACAGTCACGCACACACACTGCTACGCACATATACACACAAAACATACAGTCTGCACTAAACCACCTCAGAGGAAGACAGAAACCTGCGAGGAAGCCTCTGTGCCATCATGGACCCAGAGAGGCTTCTTTCTGGACTTTCTGGAGACCTGCAAGTTTGTTCAGGACACACTCAGGCTTTGAGGAGTAAGGCACGAGACTGACGTAAAAGGGTCTCAACACTGCGTCTAAAGGGGAGAGAAAGTCTACTGAAACCATCCCCCGGTCTTATGGTACTTTTTTTCCACCCGCAAAAGGCACCGTAAGAGCAGGCAACTTTTGTCCGGAATCACGTGTGGTTTGGGACAAAGTGGTCCCGGTAATTTTGCCATCAGAGCCATAATTGGGGTGGAAAATTGCTCTGAAGTTTTCATGGGAAGTTAATTTGGGGAGTTTTTGAATGATTCCAAATTGGAACGTTTCCATGGGTACAGTATTATGATAATCAACCGGAAATTGAGGGTAGTTTCATGGAAATGTATCACATTCAACTGAGCATAAATATCAACTTTTTTTCTGTCGTAAGCAGACATTCAAACAGATTGCTCTCAACAACAGTCACCGTACTCGAGTTGCTCAAATGGTTGTTTTCACCTGACTTAGGGACAGCGCGTGTTTGAAGCTCGCTTGCAAAACAAAGCAAAAAAAATAAAAATCAACCAAAAAACAACCATCAATTTAGTAAACCCCTTACTTATTGCCATGAGAGTTTCCAAATATGAAAATTCCCGCATTTTGCAAGCCAAGCCATAACAAAAGGGGTTAGTGTGAAAGGCGGGACAGGAGTGTGAAGTTTGGAAAACACTTCACACATCCGGTTTTGTCAAAAGCAATCGTTAAGCGCCGACGTCATTTCATGTTTTAATGGCGGGACGGTGTGTTTGAGAAAGCACACCCGGATTTTCGGGTTCTGTGTGAAAATTCGGTTCCGGCTCAGATGAGCCATTTTGCGGGCCATCCCTTGGCCGTTTTGTGGGGTCTCTGAGTGAAAGTGATTCCACTCCTGCGTGACCTTTCAAAGTCTCTCCAGTTTTCAATGCAGTGCTGCTGCGTCTTCAACCTCCTTCATGTTTACACGGAAATGATCGCAATCATGATAATCAGTAGGCATACTTGCTTGAACCAAAATGTCTCAGTCAGGTTCTGTTCAAATCGGGCCAAGACAAAAGACAATAGCAAGCATTTTGGCCATAGTTGTCCCGTCCACTGTCACCGCCCACACATACGGGTGTTTTGGTGTACTTTCACGAGGATCAGATCTAAATGTTGTGTTTGTAACAGTGCTACAGATTTTGACAAGGGCCCAAAACGGTTTCACTTTGATTTGGAAGACATTTTTCCACATAAAAGACAGCTCGCTGTTTGATTTGAGCTGACATGATAATTGGATGCATAGGTGCTTGTTTTGCGGAGGCTCCAAAGTCCAACACTATCAGGACGCTGGTTTTGACCTTTCGAGTCATTCATATTGTGAAAAACTAAGCCGAATTAATTGAGTCCAGAAGCAAACACTTCCTAGCATAAAACCTTCTTACCTCGACAGGTAATTTTAAAAAAGTATAAATTCTTGAATTCGCCCAAAATGGACGACTTCCTGTTTAGATTTGAGCCTGGGTCCTTGAGAGGTTTTTTTGTGTGTCCTCTTAAACAACACTTGGTCACTCAATTCCATATCAATTGCCGAAAGTGGTGTGTGTGTGTGTGTGTGGGGGGAGATTTAGCAAATTGCACAGTCCCCTGACGGCAGCACAATGACAAAAGTCATCAACAAAGGTTTGGATCACTGGTCAACCTGGAGTCATCGTGATACATTTTTTTCCAAACTTTTCTCATCACGGGCTTTTTTTCCCCCCTGCCCACACCTTTTGAAGTTAATCATTTCGATCTTGACTTTGCTGAAGTCGCACCGGATTCGCTGATATTGACTGTCCCCTCAACCCTTTTGGGATTATTTGACGTTGGAGGTTCTGCTTTCTAAAAACAACTCGATGATGGGTGGCAGTATGGAAAGTCATGAGAGCATTTATTCCATATTCTTAATATCCAAGGGCCCTGTGCTAGTACATTCTTTTTCCATGCTAGCAAGACAATACAGTGCACTCGGGCGCAGTAGTAGATCGAATGACTTACTAGTTATGTTTTTCTTTCCCCACTACTGGTGCCACTTGCTCCCTGCTCATAACACTACCAGGCCCAAGTTGTTGGCATGTGTAATGCACTAGGAGCCTCCATATCATGGATGGAATAAAAACGGATGCATGGGATACCATTTGAGCATTTATTTGCTTGATGGTTGATGATTGATTGGAATGACCTCCCACTGAACATTCGGCAAGCCTCCTCGCTGCCCATCTTTAAAACCCGCCTCAAAACTCACTTGTATTCTTTGGCATTTGACTCAGCATGACTTAGAGATTTGTTCTTGGTTTTGCTGTTCGGTGCTTATTCCCGTCTTTGTTACAGATTTGCTTTACTGTTTGTTGAATATGTTAATTGCTCCATGTACAGCACTTTGTATGCAGCGATGGCTGTTTGAAAGTGCTCTATAAATACAGTTGAGTTGAGTTGAGTTGATGTCCGTTTTAAAGCAGAAGTCTAATCATTTGTTCTGTGCAGCCTCGCAAGTATCATTCTCGGTATTCTAATTCATGTTGCGTTTGTGGACTCCGAATTAAGCAGCAAAATCCACTCATTTTTAGCCATCTCAGGGGGTGGCCATTTTGCCACGAAAATTAACCTCGCAAGTATCATTCTCGGTAATCTGATTCCTGTTGCGTTTGTGGACTCCGAATTAAGCAGCAAAATCCACTCATTTTTAGCCATCTCAGGGCGTGGCCATTTTGCCACGAAAATTCGACTCGTTCACAGTGCTTCACTAGTTGTATAAGTATCGTTGCCAATGTTAACTCGTGCTCTGTTTTGCCTTACTAGTAATGCGCAGTTGTATTAGTAGTAGTGTTAAGACACAATTGTTCTACGAGTGTGCCATAGTTATTCTATTGTTGCACCGACTTGTCCTCGGACCTTAAGTTGGGTATCGAGGATATCGAATAAATGCTCAAGTGGTTTTCTATACAGCGGTGATACGCTGTTTCTAACGTCACATTGCCTGTCAAATTCGTCACTAGTAATGGCCGCTCGACTGCCGTTCAAGTTCCTCAAACATTTCTCCAAGTAGCAGATGGGATTTCTGTTTAAAACCCGGCCGAGCTCGCGATGCCGTAAATGTTGACTGCATCTGTGCCAAAAGAACTCAACTGCTGTCTGTTTTACTATGAAAGGGAGCCGACATATGCTTTCAAAATAAAGCCCCAGTCGTTGGCTTCCTGTCCCAAGTGCAGAGGAAATATTCAAGCAGTAGGCCTCAGTGTGTCAGCAGGAAATAAGCTGAGAAAAGAGAAAAAAAAAAAAAAGAAACTGTTCTCATGTGTTGATTTGGAAAGCAGTTCAGCATGCTTTTTGTGCTGCATTTGTACTGTACATCCTCCTCAACGTGTTTACTTTAAGCTCCGTGGATGCCATTGACCTGCTTAACAAAGACTTTTTTTTTTTTGTACATCTCATCCAAAGTAGTCGCACTGTACATAGTGTAGCGCTCCAAGGGTTGCTTTTGTACCATAATGGCGGATACGTATTTATGTTGGCTGTTACTCGCTGCATTGTTTTTTTTTTTTGTTTGTTTGTTTTGTTTAATCAGTCGATAGGAGCAGTTAAGGCTGCCGCCAACCTAAATGACGACAGAAGCAGCAATAAGAGTCCACATACAAACAGGCCTAAACAGACGTTTGACAGTGGATATAAAAAGCCTACACACCCCATTAAAATCTCTTTTTTGTGCTATATTAAAAAATAAAAAGACAAAATCATTTCAAAACGTCATCCACTACTTGTGAACTACAACTTGTACAACACACCTGAAAGGAAAAAATAATAATACGGAAATCTTTTCAAAAGATGAAGTAACATTAAACAACGAAGATGCACAAATGTGCACACTCTGACAACTGGGATGTGCAAATGTTCAGAAGTTAACATCAATTACATTCAATCTGATGTTAGATGGGAGTCAACACGCACTGGCCACCATTTCAAGTGCGTGATTAACCCTGAATAAATAAAGCAAAAATATGTCCAGGAAACATTAACTTGAACAGCTGAACTTTATTTTGGTGAATCAGAAGCGCTTGAAATGGTGACAGGTGTATGATGACTCCTGTTCAAGTGTTACCATTATTGGTAATTCTGAACACAGCCACAATTCTGCGTGTGCACTCTTGTGCGACCACATGATTTTAATTGTTCGTTTTCACATCTCATAGAAGATTTCATTGTTCGATTGAATTGTACAGGTTATATGTCACATTAATGGTGGAAAAGGTTTTGAAATTATTTAACTCGGTCTTGTTTTTATTCGGCCACAAAACCTTGGCATTTGAACGGGGGGGGGGGGGTAAACTTTTTATATCCTTTGTATATCAGGGGTGGGCAACCTATTGCCCACTGTTTTTTCATTCAAATTTAAAAGTAATGATTAAAATATTTAATATGGATTTCATTCATTAATAACATTAGTTAACAATACATTTTCTACATTCAGTCTGTTTTTTGTATTAAAAATGAGGGGCTACATTATTGATATTACATAGAAAAAATATCAAATATCTGAACTATTTTGACGAAACAATACATGACAAAAAAAATCTCAGAAATGTTGTTGGCCATCTGAGAACTTTACAAATAGGCCCAAGGTTGCCCAACCCTAGAAGTATTTGGACAAGAGCAACATTTTGAAATCATGAGGTCAAAGATGTAAATAGTATTGTCAATGACTGTGAATATCAAGTAATTACTGTACTACTTTATTCGACTGAGGTTTTGTTTTTTGTTTTGCTTTTTTTCACAAAATGTTATCCCAGGATGTTTTAATGAGATGCTACTGTATTTTCATTTTTTTTTAATTATTTGATCCATATAAGCAACATAAATTGGGCTTGACGTGTATTTCCAAGAACGGTGTTTTATTTTTATTCTTTGTTTTGTTGGTTCTGTGTGTGTGTGTGTGTGTGTGTGTGTGTGTGTGTGTGTGTGTGTGTGTGTGTGTGTGTGTTGTGACTCACTGGAGGGGGGAAAAAAAAGCAAATGAGTGAATAAAGCCAAGGTCTGTTTGGAAAACATGTGCCATGATTTCAAACATGTCTCGGTGTTATAAGTTTGAATCTTTTTAATTTTTTTTTTTTTTTTAAGAAATCTATGCAGTTCAGGCAGACGTCACAGCCACCACAGAAAGGTGAGAATTTCATTTTGTGTGTATTGATTGAAATGGGTATTATGCCACTTTCTGTTCTTTAAATGTGCAATAAATTCTATTTTAAGTGTGTTTTGATAAGTGCGTGTGTTCGCATGTGTACGTGTGTGAGTTGTTCTTAATGTGCCGCTTCTAGTTCAATTTATGACTCTTACATCACTTTTGGCATCATGTGATGACATTCACTACAATAACAAAAGTAAAAATAAAAATACCGTAGTCTAATTTACCAGGAAGAAGATGTCGCGTAGAATGGCCCATTTCATAGATTCTGTACCCAAAACATGGAATATTTCAATTCTCTTTTTTTTTATTGTATTATGTCATTATCTTATACAGCCATTTTCTGATCTGCTTATCCTAACAAGGATCTCGGGTCGTGCTGGAGCCTGTCCCAGCTATCATTGGGCAGTACGGGGGAAACCTTGAACTGGCTGCCAGCCAATTGCAGGGCACACATAGACGAACAACCATTTGTGCTCGCAATCACACCTAGGGACAATTTAGAGCAGGGGTGTCAAACTCATTTCACATGGTGGGCCACATACGGCCTCGGTAGATGTCAAGTGGGCCGGACCATTAAAATGATACAATACTTTGCTATAAATAACCAAAACAATATGTCTTTCCTTTGTTTTGGTATAAAGAAGCACAAGAACATTAGGAAATTGTTGAAATTTAATGAACATATCTTTTACAAAACATTTCATGAAGCACCTTACATTTCCTTCGACAAATGTGCAATTTACTTTTATCATTCACATATATGCATTGCAACTGATCCCACTGATTGTACAAACTTTAACAAGTAATTGGTATTGAAAAATATAGTAATGCACTTTAAGATTAAACAAGATTCATAAAGAAAGCAAGTTTTAAAGCATTTACACGTGCATATAAAATCTAAATGTAATCCCTGCCTACACCTTACAAACTAAGGAGAGTGCTATTAAATGTGTAAATGTGAGAGTGCTATTGATAGCGTCTGCTGTCATGGGTCTGTCTCAGTGACAGACTGAGGCTGCTGTTGTCTTCTTCTCTGATCAAAACAGTGTCCCCTAGCGGATACTCAATGAATTGCACCTTATTAAAAATATT